CGCTTGAAAGGTGAGAGGAAGAAGGAGAGAAGGCGGGACGGTTGTCGCTGTCACGTCTGCAATTCAAATTGTCAGAGACGTGATTACGTTTTTGCCCCCGCGTGTATTTTAAGTGGCCTGATCTGACGGCTGGGAAGATGGCGCGATGGACGGCCGGATCATCGGTTACTGACCGTTACTGATAGGTCGGTTACTGATAGGATCCGGACCCATTAAGCTGACAACTTTGGTTGTATGAACATGAGCACAAAATGTAAATAGAAAATATGCATCAATAAGGAAGCAAGCTCTAGCTTGTTTCGGGTCACATAACACCATGTTTGTGGCCCAAATATTAGTATGTACGGAAACCAGTGCCCATTAAAAAAAATGTGCCGAAGTTTATGTTTGTAACATAAACTTGTCACTTCCTATTAACTTGATACTGAAAATGACTAAGTCCCAATTTAAACTGCGGAGAGGCTAAAAATGTAGTGGAATAACTTCCCGTCTTTCTAGTTAATCTCAAGTTTGAGATTTGGAGAGGAATACGCGAGAACGGAAGAGACGAGATAGAGTTTACGTGGTATCCCTGTTGATACGGGACTAGTCCACGAGAGATGAATGCCTCTTCGGGTTTAGTTTTTCTTATTGATTGTGTTCATGGTCGAGACCTGTTACAAGCATTCTTATACCTCATACAACATAGATCAACTAGGGCATAATTAGGAGTACAATAAGACTCGGTTTCCTTGTGGCATGCGGTTGTACGCGTGCATGCATGGGCTTCTGTGGTAGACTTGTTTTCCTGGCCCAATACTCCCCGCAAGTTGGACGGTGAAGATCTCGAGCGTGCAACTTGGAGAGAAGAAACTTGAACTGATCTGCACCAAGAGCCTTTGTGAAAATGTCAGCAACTTGGAGATGAGAACTGATTTTGCGAGGAGCAATGTTTCCCGAATGAACTCGCTCGCGGACAAAAAAGCAATCCATTTCCACGTGCTTTGTACGCAATGTGGAGAGCAGCCTGATTATCACAAAATAGTGGGGTGTACTAGGTCTGGTGAACACAAAGCTCGTGCAGGAGCCAACGAAGCCAGATGAGCTCACTAATCGTGCTTGGCATGGAATGATACTCGACCTCAGCAGATGATCGAGAAACGACGTGCTGTTTCTTGGTGCGCCAGGAGACAGGGGCGTCGCCAAGAGCAATGAAGTATCCACTGGTTGACCGACGAGTGCTTTCGTACCCGCCCCAATCTGCATCACAATAAGTAGTAAGAGTGAGAGGATTATCAGCAGGGAAAAAGAGGCTCTGACCGGGAGGAGACTTTAAGTATCGAAGCACACGATGCGCTGCATCCGGGTGGCGCTGACTAGGTGCCGTGACAAATTGACTAAGGACATTGACAACATAGGTGATATCCGGACGGGTGACTGTCAAATAAAGCAGACGACCGACCAACCGACGTAAAGGAGATGGGTCGGCAAGAGGGTCGTCAGTGACACGAGTCAAGTGATGGTTTTCCTCCACCGGGAAAGTGCACGGCCGGGTAGCTTCCATTCCAGCATCTTTCAAGATGTCCAAAGTGTACTTCCACTGGTTGAGGACGACGTCATCTTTAGTGCGGACAATCTCGATGACTAAAAGATAACGCAAGGGGCCTACATCTTTGATGGTGAACTGCCGATTTAGGGATGCCTTGATTGTGTTCATGAAGTCCAAGTCATTGACAGTGAGAAGGACATCATCGACGTAGACTAATGCGGCGAAAAACACACTTCCCTGCTGATAGGTAAACAAGGAGTGATCAGTTGGGGAGGATAAAAAACCCAGTGCAACGAGAGCCTCGGTGAATTTGTGATACCATTTCCTTGAAGCCTATCGGAGACCGTAGAGGGATTTGTGCAAACGATAGACTCGAGTATCACTTGGATTTGCAAACCCCGAGGGGATCTGCATATTGAATTCTTCTTCGAGATCGCCGTGGAGGAAAGCATTGTTGACGTCTAACTGATGAAGTGCCAACCGCGGCTGATTGCGATGGCGATGAGGCGGCAAACAGTCACTAACTTTGCCACGGGTGCGAAAGTGTCATGGAAGTAGAGGCCTTCAATATGGGTACAGCATTGGGCGACGAGACGCGCCTTGTAGCTCTCTATAGTTCCATCTGAGAAGAACTTGATCTTATATATCCACTTGGCTGCGATGGCATGCTTGCCGGGAGGCAAATCCACAAGACTCCATGTCCCATTTCGCTCCAAGGCTGCAATTTCTTGTGCCATAGCAGAACGCCACCGAGGGTCCTTGAAGGTTTCACGAAATGATCGGGGTTCATCATTAGATGTGACCGCTGCCAAAAAAGCAAAGAAATTAGAGGTGACACCTGAATAAGAAACACAAGAATACAATGGGTATTTGACGACATGACTTCGCTGAGAACAGGGGCGGAGCTAGGTGGTACTTCGGGGGGGCCTCGGCCCCCCGAGATTTTTGAAATCACGTACAAAATTCTATCGAGGTTTGAAGAATTACGTATAAAATGAAAATTAGTATAAATATAAACTGTGTGTATTAATGAAGCATACGATTTGTGTGTAGTCCAGCGGAGCAGAAGTTAATTGTTGTCATTCATGGTCTTGGTTCGAAACCTGTTGGCAGCAAATTGTTACTGATTTTTTAACATTCTTAACTGACCGTGATAAAAAACTCATATTTAATTGAGCGTAATTTGTTTTACAAGTCATGTAATTTTGAAGTAGCTTAATTATGTTCTTCAAATTTAAATTTAAATTTCTAATAATAGTTTTGGCATTTTCTTTATCTCAAATATTACAAATAAATTATAAATAAATACAAATATTAATTATATTTTATGATATATTTTCTTCTACATATTACACTTTCTAAACTTCGGCCCCCCCGACGGTCAAATCCTGGCTCCGCCCCTGGCTGAGAAGAATGCCGAATGGAGGTTCTTGTATCATATATCTCCAGCCGCTTGGGGGGAACTCGCACGCGATCGCCACGACGCGGGGCAGGAGGCACATCAGGAGCCTCGCTGGCAGGGGGTGGTGGTGAAGGCTGACCAGGAGAGGGCGGAGTAACCCCGGATGCAGACGGGTCAGAGGAGGAATCAGCGAAGACTTGTCCTGTTGCTGGTGTGTCGACAGGGGGAGCAGCAGCCAGCTCCGAAATCTCGGCCTCGTGTCCCATAGGCTAAGAGAGAGTGGGCTGAGGGATCCAGTGGAGGTGATCATGTTTCCCTTCGTGAAAGGGTTCTCCGAGAAGTGAACATCTCGGGATGTAATGATCTTGTGGGAAGTAAGATCATATATTCTGTATCCCTTTTGAGTCATGGGATAGCCGATAAAAATCCGCGCGCGACCTCTCTCCGCAAATTTATCCAGACCCGCATGTGTATCTTTGAAGAAAGTCAAACATACGAATGCACACAAATGCTGATATTGCGAGGGCTTCCGAAAGATCACTTCGTAGGGGATTTTTCCGGTAGCCGAAGTCGGTAGTCGATCAATGAGATAAGTAGCCGCGAGGATGCACTCACCTCAGAAACGGATAGGGAGACCCGCCTTGAAACTCAAGGCGCGCGCCGTGTCCAGGATATGTTGATGTTTGCGTTCGAATACACCATTTTGTTGACGTGTGTCGGTGCAAGAGGTTTGTAACAAGATAACCTCCTGTTCAAAATAGGAGCGTATGACATCACTGGTGAACTCCCTGCCATGGTCGGTTTGAATCCGACGAACCTATGTTTTAAACTGAGCTTTGACCATATTGCAAAAGGCAATCAACTGACGACTAAAATCAGATTTATAATGTAAAAGATAGACCCAGAACCTACGACTATAATCATCAACTATCGTGAGAAAATAATGAGCAACATTAGAAGATGCAACCTGATAACCACCCTAAACATCAATGTTTATTAACTCAAAACAGGACTTAGTCTTGATCATACTAGACTGAAACGGGGTGCAAGAGAGTTTCGCCCGACAACTAGAATGACAAAGGTCCTTGTTTGAAGAAACAGTAAAAGAGAGCTGCAAACTAAGAGTAATCATGACGGTGCTTGAGGGATGCCCCAAATGACCATGCCAAACATCCTCCGAGATCTTCCTTCCTGCTGCGAGAGCTTGTACACGTCCTGTTCCAAACAACCGCAGGTAATAAAGACCATCTCGAAGTTCATCCTTCCCAATCAACTTCTTAGAGAGTAAGTCCTGGATGACGCAAAAGTTATCAAGAAAGATCAATGCCACATTGTTATCTTTGGTTAAACGACTTACCGATACCAGGTTGCACAAGAATTCCAGCACATGGAGAACACGATCAAGAGTTAAACCAGATTGCAACTTAATAAAAGCAATGTGCTTAACTGAGATAATCGTACTATTGGGTATGCGCACTGGCTGCCTGTGGAATCAGAGTGAAAAGAAGAAATACAATTTTATTGAATTTTAAGAAAAATTACAGAATGTTTGGAAACAATTTAGAAACCCTAGCCAAGCCAAGAAGCTTGGCTCTTTGCAAACGAGAGAAAAGACTCTCAAACTCTCACAGAACCCTTTCTTCCCAAGAGACAATCACCCGGTCTAATCCACCCTATGATTTCCCTACTGAAGAAAGTTCAAACTCGAGTACAGAGCAGATGACTCGATCTCACTCACTCGACACACACACACAGGAAAACATTCGAACTCTTTAAATAGATATGGTCACAAGGTGACCGTTTGAATGGAGCAGACCTCAAACCGTTTCCTATACTCATGATTGTAGAGGAGTAGAGTGAAGGTCGGCAGCCTGGTTCTTCGTGAGAAAGTGGAGGTCTGCGAAATGAAGTGCTCGAGAATGGAGGAACAGGAGCGTTTGCGAAGGACGATGCTTTTGGTCGTTGTCTCCTTCGAGCGAAACGACACCGTTCTGAGTATCCTGTACTCAACCTTGCAACGACACCATTTTGCTGAAGCTTGGTCTTCAAGGCATGTCCAACAATTTCCCCCTTCGTCCAAGCATAGCGATCAGTTCCTGCAATCACAAAGAGAGAAAGGAAAACAGCAGAGACCATTCCCAAAACAAAAACCATTAAATTGCATTAATGAAAAGGATTACAGTAGGAGCTACCAGGGAACTGGAGTTTTACAAAAGACGAGGAACTAGTTTCCCCCTAAACTAACTAACCCAGTTCCCCCTGAATAGGAGCATCATCCTGAAAACAAAATAAGCTCAACTACCAAAATAACACTAGAGAAGATAGAGATTTAGGAGGGAGGAGCAGAAGCAGCAGAATCATCTGAGGAAGAGTTTCCCTCAGAGATGGTGAAAACCAGATCACCAGTTTTGCTTGGTTCACCAGCAGACTTAGCCTTTTTGGCAGAGGAGGGCTTAGGAGGAGGGCCAAGAAGAGATGAAGAGGGACGAGGAGGAGGAGGAATTTCTGTGGGCAGGTCCAGCACCATAAGCACATTCAAGGCACTGACATACATTGTAGACGAAACACTTCGAAACTCGGAGAGATCAACTCCCAGGTTAATTAACAGCTTGGTTATGATGGAACCAAAGGGAAGAAGCCCCTTATAATGTTCATCAGCCACTGGAAGTAGCTGGCCGAACATTACACTTGCAAAGTCAAGCTTTCTCCTGGCAGTAGCACTCGAGATGATCCATAGGTCCATGTGAAGAACTCGATCTTGATTGAAGGATCGAGGGAAGAAAACATGAGTCAGAAAGTAATGGAAGATTCGCAGTCTGGGTGGAAGCCAGGAAGCAGGGATTGGGACATCGGATCCGCCAGTGGGTTCGGTGGAGAAGTTGCTGTACTCAACTTCAATCTTGAACTCATGCTTCCAGAATTCAGAGGGATGTGCTATCCCGAGTCCTTGGGAAGGAAAGCTCAGTATGCCATTGAGGGCATCAACTGGTATGGTCAGAAGGTGACCATACACTAAGGTGGTAAAACTCCTCGAGCTTACTCCTTGACTCTGCAGATTTGAGTAGAAGTATTTGATGGCACCAGGACAGGCAGGGTGAAGAGGCTGTCGAAGGAGGAAATCCCAGCCAAGACCTTCGATGAGGGAAATAATGTCATATTTATAGACATTGAACTCATAAGGATCCAACTGGGTGATGTGATGGATTCTTCGTTTATCGAAGTGCTGAAGGTATCGATGATGGTTTAGCACTCTTGGTTCATGAAACATGTACCCTGAGTAGGTGTGTACCAGACCATCGAATCGAAAAGGACGAGGAAGGCAGTCACTCATTTTTGGAAACACTCGGAGGAATTTGTTTGAGAGAAAGAGGAGTCTGCCTTTTAGATAACTCGAGTAGTGAGAAGCATAAGACTCGAAGAGAGCTTTATATAGGCTGAGGAGAAAGGGAGGAGAAGAAGAGGAAGAGTCGCTTCTTAGAGAAAAAGCAGCGGGAGAAAGGTAATGATTAGTTTTAGCATGCATGGTTTTGTCTCGAAACAAGGCAGGCGCGGGCTTTGGAAATGTGTTCGAGACAAGCTAAATCCCTAGAGCTAAAAAGGCCCAATAACTTTTTAGTTTGAAAGATTTTTAATCTGATTAGAAGATTTGAGGCCAATCTCTGTGCACAGCTGAAGAAATCGTTCACTGGATAGGGGTTTGGTGAACAGGTCAGCTAATTGTGATTCAGTAGACACAAATTGCAAACAGATATGCCCTGCTTGCACTAATTCTCTAATAAAATGGTATTTAATTTCAATGTGCTTAGTCCTTGAGTGTTGGACAGGGTTTTTTGTCATACAAATTGCACTAGTATTGTCACAGCATACTTGAATGTTACTTAGTTTAAATCCATAATCAGAAAGTTGGGCTTTCATCCACATAATCTGAGCACAGCAGCTTCCAGCAGCCATGTACTCAGCTTCTGCTGTGGAGAGTGCAACAGCACCCTGTTTCTTGCTGAACCAAGAGACTAGAGCAGGTCCAAGGAACTGTACAGTTCCTGAAGTGCTCTTCCTATCTACAAGGCTACCCCCAAAATCTGAGTCACTATACCCAACTAATTCAAATGAGTCAGAAATTGGGTACCATAGACCTACATTTGTAGTTCCCTTAAGATATCGAAAAATTCTTTTAACTGCCTTAAGATGGCTTTCTTTAGGGTTTGATTGGAATCTTGCACATAAGCCCACACTAAACTGTATGTCAGGTCTGCTGGCTGTTAAATAGAGTAAGGATCCAATCATACCTCGGTATTTCTTTTCACAGACAGCTATCCCACCTTCATCTTTGTCTAATCTCAAGTTTGTGGCCATTGGGGTAATGCTTTCATTTACAGAGTTCATATCGAATTTCTTAAGCATAGTTTCAATATAATTTGACTGATTTATAAAAATTCCAGACTTAGTTTGTTTGATTTGTAGACCAAGGAAGTGAGATAGTTCTCCCATCATACTCATTTCAAACTCAGATTTCATGCTTTCACAGAATTTTGTGCACATGGAAGGATTTGTTGATCCAAATACTATGTCATCAACATATATTTGAACTATTAGAGTATCATTGTTTTGTCTTTTAATAAATAGGGTTTTGTCAACATTTCCTTGACAGAATCCTTCTTCCTTTAAAAACTTGGATAGTTTTTCATACCATGCCCTAGGTGCCTGTTTTAAACCGTATAATGCTTTTGATAATTTGTAAACATGATCTGGGTTTTTGTGATCAACAAAACCAGGTGGTTGACTAACATAAACTTCCTCTTTTATTTCTCCATTTAAAAATGCACTTTTGACGTCCATTTGATAGAGAGGAATTTTCATATAGCAAGCATATGCACATAGCATTCTAATTGATTCAATTCGTGCTACTGGTGCAAAGGATTCCTCAAAATCAATTCCTTCTTCCTGAAGGTATCCTTGTGCAACTAGTCTAGCTTTGTTTTTTACTACAATTCCTTCTTCGTCAGTTTTGTTCCTAAAAACCCATTTTGTTCCTATTATTAGACAGTTTATTGGACGTGGAACGAGTTCCCAAACATGTAGTCTAGCAAATTGAAGCAACTCCTCTTGCATGGCATTCAACCATTCATCATCAGTAATGGCTTCCTTGTAATTTCTAGGTTCTAGTAATGAAACAAAAGCATACTGACCTGGTTGGTACTTACCTCTTGTGTGAATTCCATCTTTTAGTTGGCCAATGATCTGAGAGGGAGGATGTCGTTTTTGAATGTATGCTGGAGCTTCCTTTTCTTGTTCAAACTCTGGTTCAGTCTTGTCAGAGGGAGGATCTTTAGGTGTTCCAGCTTCTTCTGTGATTGTTTCTTCTGTTGATACAGGAAATAGGAAGTCTATACTATCTATACTTCCTTTGTTAGTTCCCATAGATTCATCAAACTTTACAAAAACAGACTCCTCTACTCTTTTGGTCCTATGATTGTATACTCTATATGCCTGCCCCTTTGTTGAGTATCCTAGGAATATTGCTTGATCTGATTTTGCATCAAATTTAGAGAGATGTTCCCTTGTATTTAGGATAAAACATTTACATCCGAAAGGGTGGAAGTATCCTACATTTGGTGTCTTTTGTTTTAAGATTTCATAAGGTGTCTTGTTTATAGTTTTTCTAATCAGAACTCTGTTGATTATATATACTGCTGTCATAACAGCCTCTCCCCAAAACACTTTAGGAGTGCTATATTCAAGCAACATAGTTCTAGCAGCCTCAACTATAGTTCTGTTTTTCCTTTCCACCACTCCATTCTGTTGGGGAGTTCTAGGTGCAGAGAATGTATGACTGATTCCTTTTTCATTACAGAATTCTCCAAACAGATCTGATATAAATTCTCCTCCATTATCACTTCGAATTGACTTAATTCCTTTTTCTGACTCATTAAGTGTTCGATTTACAAATATCCTGAAACAGCTGAAGGCTTCATCTTTTGATGCAAGTAAAAACACCCATGTATACCTAGAAAAATCATCTACTAACACAAAACCATAAGATTTACCACCTAAACTAGTCACATTGGTTGGTCCAAATAAGTCCATGTGAATTAATTCATAGGGAGCTGAGGTGGTTATGTCCTTTTTGGATTTAAAACTCTTCTTTGCAAGTTTTCCCCCAACACAAGCATCACAAAACAGTTTTGAGTTCTCTTTTAGATGAGGAATTCCTCTAGCAGATTTTAACTTAGACAACTTAGACAGTTTTGACAAAGATACATGTCCCAATTTTCTATGCCAAAGCATTTCAGTATCATTTAGGCTGGCTTGGAAACATGTTTCATTGAAGGTTTCTAAACAGTTCAGATTTACAACATACATGTTGTTTTTCTTTGTTCCCGAAAACAACAGCTTGTTATCTTTTATTCTGATGATTTGACATGTTTCTAATTCAAATACTACTCTATTTTCATTTGAACATAACTGACTAATGGACAAAAGATTATGTTTTAGCCCATCTACTAATAACACATCACTAACAGTGGGAAGTGGGCTTTTACCAACAGTTCCACTTCCCATTATTGTTCCAACACGATCATCCCCAAACACAACTTTACCACCCCTTTTAAATTTTAGAGAGGAGAATAATTCCTTCTTACCTGTCATGTGGTGGGAGCAACCACTGTCCAGAAACCAGATGTTTTCACTTACTCCCAATCTCTGCAGTCAGTCATAGATTAGTACATTTTGGTACCCAAAATGTTTTGGATGTACCAGTCCTTCTCAAATCATAACAAAATTTAGCTAGGTGACCTTTTCTTTTACAATAAGTACATGTATAAATGATGGGGTATCGTTTACTTGGCAGATGTTCTTGTGATACAGTATAAGAGCTCTGTTTCCTTTTAAAAACTCTAAAACTCTGTTGTCCTGATTTTCCTTTAAGCAGCTTGTTTAGTCGTTGATTTTCATCTGTGAGCTCAAATACTAGTTTGTTCAGTCGTTGATTTTCTTCATTTTGATATACCACTGATCTAGTTGCATTCATTAATTCCCCTTTTAATTTCTGATTATCAGTCATGAGTAAACAGTATTTACTTTTCAGTCTCTTACATTCTTCTTGCAAATTTACTAGAGCATTTAGAAAGTCTGTTTTTGGTTCTAGACTAGTTTCTTCATCAGACTCAGAGTAATCGATTACCTGATAGCAGGATGGAGAACCATGATCTCTACTGCTTGAAGATTGGCAGTCATCTTCTTTGTTAGTGGCAAAAGCCATATAGGCTAGGTCTTTCGTCTCATGATCCTCATCTGAGCTGAGATCACTCCATGATGCAGCCATGGCTTTTTCTTTGGTTTTCATCCCTGCAGGGCATTTTGACCTAATATGTCCTGTCTTACCACACTTGTAACAAACAGTTAGTTCCTTCTCATTGGAAGACCTGTGGTCTTCCTTATCAATTCTAAACCTTTCTCGACCATCAAAGCCTTTTTCATAAGACCTTGAAGTATTTCTATCCAGATATGGTTTGTATGAAGCATATTTTTCATTTGTTTTAGTAGGAACCCTTTCTGTTCCTTCTCGGTCCTTTCTTTGCTCAGATAGATAGTTATTAGATTGCCTAGAATCTCGAATTGCTCTTTTAGCTTGAAAGTCCTTTTTCATTTTAAGCATTCGATGAAATTTTCTACTTACAAGAGCGAATTCCCTTTCAAAGTCTTCTCCCATGTCTGTTTCTGATTCACTGTCATATTCTTGAGCTTTAAAGGCAATAACTTTTCTTCGTCTATGATCATCTTTATTCATTTGAATTATTACTTCTTCATGACTCAGTAATGATCCTACTAGTCTTTCAATTGACAGTGTGTTTAGGTCTTTGGCTTCCTCTATAGCAGTTCGTTTAGGTAGCCATTCCCTAGGTAAACATCTAAGTATCTTGCGAACTAGATCCTTTCTTTCAAACATTTTTCCTAAACCTTTGAGCCTATTTATCAGATCATTGAATCGTTTATACATGCTGGATATTGATTCTCCTGAGCTCATTTCAAATGATTCGTATTCATTTAGCAAAACGTCAATCCTACTTTCCTTAACCTCAGACGTACCTTCGTGAGTGGTCTGAAGTGACTCCCAGATTTCCTTAGCGGACTCACATTGTGCCACTTGACTTCTTTCCTCTGGGCAAAGTGCTGAGAAGAGAATGTGCATAGCTCGTGAGTCGAGCTGTGATGATATCTTCTGCTCTTCTTTCCACTCTTCTTCATCTTCATCATTCATTGGGACAGGTCCCTTTCGAACAACAGCCCATAACTCTCCATCTACCTCGCGAAGGTAGATCCTCATCCTCTTTTTCCAGACTGTATAGTCTGTTCCATCAAACCACGGAGGATTGGTGTTTGCGGAATAGGAGACTGCGTTTGATGATGATCCAGACATTTCGACCGAAGCTCTTTGGCGATGATTAATCCCTCAAAGAGTAGGCTCTGATACCAATTGTGGAATCAGAGTGAAAAGAAGAAATACAATTTTATTGAATTTTAAGAAAAATTACAGAATGTTTGGAAACAATTTAGAAACCCTAGCCAAGCCAAGAAGCTTGGCTCTTTGCAAACGAGAGAAAAGACTCTCAAACTCTCACAGAACCCTTTCTTCCCAAGAGACAATCACCCGGTCTAATCCACCCTATGATTTCCCTACTGAAGAAAGTTCAAACTCGAGTACAGAGCAGATGACTCGATCTCACTCACTCGACACACACACACAGGAAAACATTCGAACTCTTTAAATAGATATGGTCACAAGGTGACCGTTTGAATGGAGCAGACCTCAAACCGTTTCCTATACTCATGATTGTAGAGGAGTAGAGTGAAGGTCGGCAGCCTGGTTCTTCGTGAGAAAGTGGAGGTCTGCGAAATGAAGTGCTCGAGAATGGAGGAACAGGAGCGTTTGCGAAGGACGATGCTTTTGGTCGTTGTCTCCTTCGAGCGAAACGACACCGTTCTGAGTATCCTGTACTCAACCTTGCAACGACACCGTTTTGCTGAAGCTTGGTCTTCAAGGCATGTCCAACACTGCCCATCCACATTGACATTCTTGTTCGACAATATTGTCTCATCCATGGTTATATGTTCGTTACAACCGAATCAAGTAGCCATTCTGAATCAAAAGTAAACATACCTGCCATATGAGCAGGTGGATCGTCCGATTTAGAGGACGAGTCATAGAATTTCTTCAGCTGCTCAAGTTGGGCAAGAGTGAATCCGAAAACAGGGCTCGACTTAGAGTCCACATGGGGGGCCTTTGGTTCTCGGGCCGAGTTCCCTTCTGTATCTAGACGTGGACGGCGTCGCAGGGTGAAAACTCAGAGTTGTCTCGGGGAGGATATCCAATTAGTTCATAGCAAGCTATCTTGAGGTGACCAATTCGCTGGCAGTGGGTGCATTTTGGGCGTTCACGATTCCCATGCCCCGCCGGTCTGTCTTGCTCGTTGCGAGTAGCAAAAACCGAAGCCTCTGGGTTTGTGTTCGACTTCCTGCCATACGAGATTGCACAGTGTTGCTTCTCATTAAGCACCGCATTAAAAGCTTCTCCAATTGTAGGGATAGGTTTCATCGCCAACAATTGGGTGTGAATAGCCGAAAAAGCTTCGTCGAGGCCCATCAACAAATCAAACAGGCGAGATTTATCTTGTTGCTCCCTTGCTTGCCGCGCGATGTCACAAGTACACGAACCATATGAGCAATAGGGAGGCGGTGAGATGGCAGCAGCCTCTTCACATAATGAGCGCAGCTCGTATAAAAAGTGGACACCGTCAGTTTTTCTTGTTGAAGCCGGACAATTTGGCTGTGCAACTCATAAGCCTTAGAGGCACTCCCGCGGCCGAATCCGTCACGTAAATCGGTCCCCAGGTTGTGCGATGTTTCGGCCCAGGGCACGCTGTTGCGAATTTCTTTGTCCATGGATGTTGTCAACCATCCTCTGACCATAGTGTTGCATCGATCCCAAACTGCTTGTGCGAGTGCTTCCGTGGGACGTTTGATAGAACCATTAACAAATCCATACTTGTTTTTTGCGACTAGAGAATCTTTCATATCGATAAACCACTCACCATAGTTTGAGGCGGCGAGTAAATCGCCCACGAGTAGTTGACCCGGTCCATCGGATTGATGGAGACTATAAGCTGGTGGCAGGACATAGCCAAGACCCTTCGTGTCACTGTCGCCCATGTTGATTGTGATGAGCTACGAATAATGCAAGACCTATCAGACAAGCTCCTTTAGAACTCAACACTGCTATGATACCATGTCAAATATATAATACGCGAGAACGGAAGAGGCGAGACAGAGTTTACGTGGTATCCCCGTTTATACGGGACTAGTCTACGGGAGAGGAATGCCTCTCCGGGTTTAGGTTTTCTTATTGATTGTGTTCATGGCCGAGGCCTGTTACAAGCATTCTTATACCCCATACAACGTAGATCAACTAGGGCACAATTAGAAGTACAATAAGACTCGATTTCCTTGTAGCATGCGGCTTTACTCGTGCATGCATGAGCTTCTGTGGTGGACTTGTTTTCCTGGCCCAATAGGAAGCAACATAGTTGCTAATCTTTGCTTCGGGAAATTCCTACAATATTCAAAATCGCTATAATAATAGTAATAATTTCAATTTTGGACCTGTTAGAGTAGGGTTTCCATATCAAATTTTTGCCCTCAAGCTTCTGATCAATTTTGGTACTTGTGAGTTGCTTAGAAGAAGACTTCCAGCTCCTTTTCTGATCTCCAATTCACTGGTTCTGATGTTTTTAGCTCGTACAAGATGGTCGACTGACCACTAGTAGGGATGGCAATTTCGACCTGACCCGTTTACCCGACCTGTTTGGTCTGTTTCGGGGCGGGGCGGACATGGGTAATCTCATCGACCCGACCTGCCCTGACCCGCCGCATTCTCGACCCGTTCTTGTCTAAATTACTTGTAATCTTAGTCAAATTACTTAGGATTTTCCTTTTATTACATCATATTTTAGCTATAATAAAGTTGTAATTTAGTGAAAACCTCAATTTCTCCAAAAATTTAACTATATTTATCATAATATTGGTTGGTTTCTTGGTCTTACAATAAAAACAATGAATATTTCTATTGTTTTTCATATAAACGACCTGTCCGGCCCGCGATCCGTAATAAATTACCCGACCTGTCAAGGGCAGGTCTGGATACCAAGAAACCCGCCCGGACCTGCCCATTGCAATTCCTAACCACTAGGATGTGATGACCTGAAGAATACGTGTGGAACGATGCAAAGTATGGTGGTATTTCATCTTGAAAATCATTCTATCCCAACAATTAATTAATTTGCCTACTGAACCTTAACCTTAACTAACGAAAAAATCTGAACAAAATTTTAACCGATGGTATTATTTTGTATTTATATACGTCCGCTACATGCTACATACCCATGGGTTTTTTACTATCCAATCCAATTGGGTTGGGTATGAAATCCAAATAGATAGATGTGGGTAGAATTTGATGGGTTTGTACCCATACCATTTACTTTGGGATGAGTTGGGTTTATAACAAATGGATTTGGGTTTGTACCCATGCCCAAATATAAATTACAGTTTGGTATCTAAACTTAATAGATATGCATATTTAGTACCTAAATTTAATTTTTTTTTGCATATAAGTCCTCAAAATATCAATGGAAAATTTGGTACTTAAATTTTTTTGGTCTTACATGTTGGTACCTAAATTTTTCAAGTTTTACAAATAGGTCCAATTTTTGCATGTGTAGTTAAAACACCCTCAAGTAAATGGATATCCATATCCAACCCATACCCATTTAGATTATGAAAGCAATATTTATACATTACCCAAACCCATATACAAACCCCCAAACCCATGTGCACTTCACCCATACCCAACCCATTATCAATGGATCTACTTTGGTTTGGGTATAATTACTCATGAGTGGGTAATTGCCATGTTGTTAAATTACCTCCTTTCTACTTGACAAAGTTCTAAGAAATTGAAGATCTGAAAAGCTGAGTCATTAATTGAATCATGAGGGGGATCCATCCTCTTTGATTAGCTGCCATCCTATTGATGAGGGGGATCAATAGTGGTTCCCTATACTCTAGTTCTCTATTCTTTTGGGGACGACAAAAATCTAGGTCGTCCCCATTACTAGGGACGACAGTCGTCCCCGATACTCGCAAGTCGTCGTCTCGTTTCTTGTCCATGAAAGACAAAATGTCGTCCCCATAGCTATAACTTTAGCGACAATAAGTCGTCCCCTAAACATCATTTCTAGGGACAACCTATTGTCCCACATAGTTGATTTCATTATTATGTTGGGACAATATGAGGATAATTTGTTGTCCCCTTTTCTTTTTATAGGTTCGACATGTGGTTCCTATAGGTGTCAAATTGGAGTCCAAAATTCGTCCCCGAAAGCTTTATTCAAGGATTAAGAGTGGTCTCCTATACTATATCTTTAGAGGCGACAATTTGTCACCTATTACTTTTAGGGACAAACAATTGTCCCTTAAGTTCTGTATTAGGGGACGAGGAGTTGTCACTTATGTGCCTTTTGGGAACGACTAATTGTCCCCTATGTAACTCGTATGAACGACCTATTGTCCCTTAGCATGTGTCTTTGGAGACGACTAATTGTCCCATGTATCACTTGTGGGGGCGATCAACTGTCCCTTAAACTGTATTATTGGAAGTATCACTTATAACTCTTCATACGGCACCATGTTTCCACCAACAACCATCATTCTTCTCTTAGCTCCCTGGAAGTGAAATTAGACACAATTTAACAGTTAAATATATGGCAAGGAGCCAAGGACATCAATTGCATGAAATGGAAGCAAATACTCGATTGGGAAAAGAAATGCATTGGGCCATCTTAGAAAATAAAATCTATAAAAATCCATAACAATTTAAGGCTCTTGAGTACCTATTTTTCCTTTTTGAGTTCGAAACCTGCTTGTGTGGTGCACTTCGTTTCTTATTCGCACGTCTAGCCTGTATAACGAATTTGAACGAGAATGTTAGTAATTTAAATAGATTTAATCTTCAACCTTAGTATTAAATTTTATACCTTACTAGAACAATCATCCCTTGTATATTCTTCTCCACGTGTGTCTTCCGAAGTGAGAGCATCCTCCCTCTCATTTTATGAGTGTGTTAGTCTGATTGTGATTTTGTAAATGTATTGAAAAAATTCATGTAAGTAATAAGATAGAAAATTGACTACTTACTTGCCCACTGCGAGAAGATGATTCATGCCTTTCATTTTCCATCAATTTTTCGAACCTTTGGGTTAAGGATAGATTTTGTTTGCCTTGATCTGCTAATTTTGCAGTTAGGTCAACAACTTGAGCCTCCAGTTTTTCTATCTTCCAATTCTGATTGTTTGTCATACCCTTTGCAATTGACTTGTACCCAGTACTTTTTCCGCGAACATAGCCAGAGCGAGCACCAAACACCACTCTCAAGACATCTTCATTAGCGTTAATAGTCTCATCCACAGGCATGACTTCTTCTTATGTTCTTCTTATCTCATGGTGGAATGAGTAAAAATGTAATAACATGTTAGTTCAAGCATAGTTGAAAGAAAAAAGAGATTAATGCAAATAAAAAGAACTTACATAATAATGCTCTAATGAACTATCCACCCACTTCCGCTCATTATTTGAATTCATACTGCTATGTTGTGCCATCCAAACTTCCGAGGCAGATGGTAGTTTTCCAGTTCTCTCATCAATCTAGTATCATAATTTAAACTTTAATCAATAAGGAGCGACAAATACATGATTTGGCATCCAACAAAATTGAAAATCAAATTTACCGTATCATATTCTGTTTGTGCAAATGGCGTTGGTCTAGTGCAGGCAATGACCTTTTGATTTGAGCGATTATTAGCATTTTTCAAACTAAGAGCCTGTACAAAAACAATTAAATTTAACACATTTGTTTGCTAAAAGTGCACATAGTAAAAAAGAGTGCGATAATTCCTAACAACTATAAAAATGGCAATAATTATAAAAGGAGAATACTACCTTAAATTCTGGAGATGCAAACAGTTCCAACATTTGTTGCCAATCTTCTGCAGATAATCCTTCAGGAATATGCTCCATCCGCTCTTCATCTGTTTCATACTTCTTTTACTTGTCATGCAATCTTGATCTATATTTTCTATAGCTGGCTCTCATTTCATTGAAACAATGCTCTCTTAATTTATACTTCTTGACTTCAAGCGACTCTGGCGGCTCTCATTTGTGCAAGTAGCTAATAGACCCCAGCATGTGAAAAAAGAAGTAAAAGAGACAGATGGAAACCTGCTATCCCTAAACTTCAAGAACATGAACACAAATCCAGCCAGCCTTTTGTAGAGAAACATCATACCAAATCCAGGCACTCAATTCTAAAAAAGTCCATTACCTTCCACGTTCGACGAAGGCACTTCCTTTTCTTGAACACGTGACATATTTTCGGTTTCTGTGTCTGTAGATATGAGGGCAGGACGCGATTTAAGTTTCGGTATTTTGTTCTTTCCACGAATCATCCCTGCAAATAGGGTTTTACTAACACTATTAGAAATCAAACGAAATCTATAAATCACAGAACAATATAATCTGGAAATCAAACGTGAGAGTAACAGAGAAGTTAAAACGAACAAAAGCTTGCAGGTGAGAATGAGACTAGGCAAGATTTCGGTTGATTTCGCAACAGGGGACGGAGATCAGAAACGAGAAGCAGGGATGCAGGCTGAAAAGTATCTTTTTATAATCTAAACGGTGAGAAATCATGAACGGAAACCAAACAGGCGGAGGCATAGATTAGCTTACCGAGCAGTCATGACCGAACGCAGAGTGCGAAAACTAGAGATACACGCGCCAATGATTTGTTCAGAGGAGTAGGAGGAGAATAGAGCTGTGTAACTGAAGTTGGGAGGGGAATAGAAACTGGGGCTAGGAGGGAACAGAGCTGCGTAACTGAAGTTGGGAGCGGAAAAGATTTTAACGGATTTGGGTCTATCTATCTTAAGGAAGGAAATCACAAGGGAAATTGGATTTTGCCGCCAAAAATTGGTGTTAGAGGGAAGTTTTGCTGCCATTACCGGGAAAAGGAATAAAACGTGTTTGCCTAGCTGAATTTTGAAATTTTAGTCCAAAAGGGGTGCTTGCTCTTTTCAAATAAATAGAACCCTTTTGCGTAATATCTTTTTCAGTTTCAGTATAGATCCCATTGTCTTGCCAGTACCAGTGTGCAGGAATTCAATTATCTTCAGCAGCAGCAAACAACAATAGAGTTCCTCGAGAATTCCATAATATTCCTTTTGGGGAGAGCTGTCATCGCCTTTTGAGAGTACCCCACTATTTTGACCTTTTCGTGACTGCTCTCTAGTTAACGTGTGAAATCTGAAACCGTTAACAATATATCCAGTATATTTTTTGTAGCGCATGATAGGTCCTGAAGCTAAATCAAGTAATTCTTTAGAAACATGGACATGACCTTGTTGTTTCAAATGAGTCACCTACAAATTCAATCAATTAAACTATATTAAGATTCACCACTAAATATTTATGGAGGAAAAATGTGTTATTATACTTACATGATCTCGAAGCCATGCAGGGAAGTTAGAATTGTACCGCTTTACCACATCCGAGTGTTTCATTGGAGGTAGACTAGCTTTGAACGACCTGTTAAATACAATTTTGTTATGAATCATGTTATGATAAGGATACCCATAGAAAATACGATAGAAATCACTTAAGAAGAACTTACTCGATAAAAGGCCATACTTCTTTGCAGTTGTTTAGGACGTATAGGTGAGCCTTCCATCTCCATTCAACATCTAATGTCTTGGGGACATCTTTTCCTAATGGACGACCAACTTCATCAAATATATCCATTTCCCCATTCCTACTCGAGCTTTCGTTGTCGTCATTGTTTCTTCGAGGCCTATTAAACTTGGTGTCAACCCCATCAAGATATCTTGAACAAAATGTCAAACACTCATCACCTATATATGCTTCTGCTATGGAAGCCTCTGGATGTGCTTTATTACGAACATAAGACTTAAGGGTCCGCAAGTATCGTTCCACCGGATACATCCACCTTGTTTGAACTGGTCCAGCAATCATAGCCTCCATCGGCAAGTGGATGCACAAGTGTACCATGACTTCGAAGAATGAAGGAGGGAATATCATCTCCAGTTTGCATAGTGTCATAACGATTCGGGTTTGGAGGTCATCTAAATCATCAGCTTGTAGAGTTTTGCAGCATAATTTTCTAAAGAATGCACTTAATTCAATTAATGGTTCGCAAACTTCCTTTGGCAGAAGCCTCCTAATTGCTAAGGGGAGAAGTCGTTGCATGAACACATGGCAATCGTGACTCTTCATGCCTGAGATTTTTCTCTCCTTCATGTTGACACATCGAGAAATTTTGGACAAAAATCCATCGGGAGTCTTTATATTTGTCAACATCCTGCACAATACTTCCTTCTCCTCTTTTGATAGCGTATAAAGTGTGATAGGAAGATGAGTTTTGCCCCCAACCTCCTTCGGATGTAGTTCTTCTCGAATTCCTAGTTGTACCAAGTCCAATCTACTTTTGTAAGAATTTTTTGACTTCCCCTTGATATCCATTATGGTCCCTAGCACATTATCGCAGACATTTTTCTCAATGTGCATGACGTCAAGATTGTGGCAGATGAGGAGTGTCTTCCAATAAGGCAGCTCGAAAAATATGCTTTTTTCCTCAAATTTCCCCAGCTATTAGTAGCATCATAATTGACTGGATTTTCTTTTCTTCCAAAAGGTACTTGAGTGAAAGTGCAGCATTTCATAAGCACCTCATCTCCTGATAATGGATTTGGCTTCGTCCTGACCTCTCTCTCCCCATTGAATGCTGCAACATTCTTTCGCCATTTGTGATTAGGTGCCAACCACCTTCTATGAGCCATGTAACACAACTTATTCGATCCTTTCAAAACCTGGGCGCTAGTGTCGACATGACATGAAGGACAAGCCTTATAACCTTTCGTAGACCATCCCGACAAATCAGCATAAGCTGGGAAGTCACTGATAGTCCATAGAACCGAAGCATGTAGCTAGAAGTTCTTCTTGGAAAATGCATCGTACGTGTTAACTCCATCTTCCCATATTCCTTCAAGTCCTTGATCATGGGTTGCAAGAATACATCGAGACCCGTACTCGGGCTATGAGGACCATGTATTATCATTGACATGATAAAATATGGTTGTTTCATGCACAACCAAGGAGGTAGGTTGTACAGGATAAGCACCACTGGCCATATACTATGTTGGGAGCTCATGTTGCCAAAAGGTTGGAAGCCATCCGTTGATACAGTCAGTCTCACATTTCTAGGATCACTTGCAGTCTCACATTTCTAGGATCACTTGCAAAAGATGGGTATGCCTCATCAAATGCCTTCCACGCAGGAGTATCAGCGGGATGTTGCATTATACCATCATCACTTCTGCCCTCCTTATGCCACCTCATCTCAGAAGCTGTTTGACCTGACATAAACAACCTCTGCAACCTAGGCTTCAAAGGAAAATATCTTAATACCTTGTGTGGTTTTCCCTTCCCCTTGCTATCGAATGATGCATATCTAGGCAATTCACAAACTGGGCAAGATGTTGCATCTGCATGAGGACCCCAGTATAGTGTGCAATTCTTCTCGCAAACATCGTACTTCTCATAACCAAGACCGAAATCAGAAATATACTTACGAGCACTGCTGAACGACTCGGGCAAATTAACCTTGCCATCAGGAATTAAGACCCTCAAAATGCCAAGTAAGTCATTGAATGACTTATTGGTCCACTTGTAAATACTTTTAAGATGAAGCAGTTTCACAATCGTTGATAGTTTAGTGTACTTGCAGTTTGGGTACAATTTTTCCTTAGCCTCTTGCATCAAGCGATAGAAGGTAGCAGCATCTCGATTAGGTTCTTCTTCAGACTCTTCTATGTCCATCCCCAAATCTTCTTCTTCACCTCTTGTGCCAAATAAGTCACCTACCAATCCTTCCATGTCATCAAGAGTATCTTCAAGCATAGTATCATCATTTTGATCTTGGCTAGTGGTTGACCGTGGAGTATTACTACCTTCTCCATGGAAATTCCAAGTTGTATAATTCTCCAAAATTCCTTTTCAGCAAATGAAATTCAACATCTGAACGGCCTTTATATACTGCAATACTGCATTTTGTACAAGGACAACGAATGGCTTCTTTGTTGGCCGAATGAGAAAACGCGTAGTCAATAAAATTATTCACGCCTTCCATAAATCCCGATTCTCTCCTATTTTTTATGCTCATCCAATTTTTATTCGGAATCATCTCCTGTTAAAAAATATAAAGTATGAATTATGACACAAAATATATAGATTACATAATGAAAGAAACATTAAAATAAAATATTAATTGTGCGTACAATTCTAGAATATGACTAATTGAACTAAGCATTCTACCAAAAAAAAAAACATTCAACCAAGCTTTTTGTGCGTGCAAATCACAGGGAATGGGCTTAACTTCTTCATTAATGAAAAGGATTGGGGGAAGGGTTGATTTATAGCAATAATTAAGTTAAGCAATTTAGCGTGATTAAAGCTAGACTAAACAATAAACTTCATAAACTTCAAAATCCAATAAAAAAAACAATAAACTTCGAAAGAAACGAGAAGCAACCATGATTTAAAAAAAGGAGGAAACGAGAAGCATGAATGAATGAGGCTTTCAAAATCTCTAATTACAAGAAAATAGATTACCGACAGTTGTAAAATACCTTGATGGTGTTGTGCTACAGTTTCCTCTTCTTGAACTTCTTCCTTTGCTAGTTTCAAGATTTATTGTAAGAAAGTAAGTAGTAGAATCAGATGTTTAACGAAATCAAAACTCACCTATTTATAATGTAACAGTAACAATCTAAATAGGAAAAGGAACATAATAAAGTATAAATTTAAAAATAAAAAGGATGCCAACAACCATCACTTTAACAATGGGTAAATTGCAAGTTTGGTCACTGGAATTACTAAAAAATTTCACGTTTGCCACTGAAATTAATTTATTCCATTCATGGTCACTAAGATTA